AATGATATAGCGAAATAATAATTTTTTTAATTATGAGGTTATGTTACACTTTATCAATTATTTATCAATTAATATAAAAGTATTACAATAACTTTTTGTTTATATTATTATTATTATTACCATTTTATTTAATGTAATTAATTATATTTATAAATAATGCATTTATATTGATTTATATATATATATATATATATATATAGCATAACTTCATTTATAAAATGTATTTAGCAATATCATTATTATTATTATTTTAATTAGACAGGTTTTTATTTTTTTAGGTTTTATTTTATTTACATTATGAGAATGTTATACCTGGACTTTGGCCTTCTTCAGCGTATAGCAGTATTATAGAAAACTCCTGCAGCTGAACACAGCTTATCAAACAGCCCAGTTCTGGATGCATCACTGTCACACTGGCACGGGCTGTGACCAGATGACTCTGCTTATATCTGCACATGTATACACACACACACTAGTTAGTTACCATTAAACTTAAAAGACAGAACCACTCACAGTCCTTTCACTGAACGACGTGTATGTTTATGTGCATCACTGTTACCTCTCTGCAGAGCGGCAGTCCAGTATAAGTATGTAATAGGGATCATGCAGTGAAGGCTGGCCTGCTTCAGCATTCAGGAGGTTGTATACCTGCTGTGGGGTCACATAACCTCTTTCTATATTTACCTTTTCTGGAAGTGCAGGAATCAGAAGCTCTTTCACACAAAAAAATGAGAAAGCACACACACACACAATTATTTTAACATTTATCACAGACAGTTCCTACAGACAATCAGTATAACAATGTATCTGATATACACACAAGCTGTGATGAGTCATGCAGCGTCTTTATTCTTTAGTTGTGTTGACGTACCTTCAGTGTTCTGAGATGATTCAATGACGTTAATTTGGGAGAGTTTGACAGTTCCATTCATCTCCCTACAGGGGGCGCTGTTCTGAACCTGCAGAGAGCCCCGAGAGCCAGTGGAGCGAACCAAACGACATTTATGAGCTCTGAGGAGAGGGAGAGGGGGAGGGGAGAGAATTCTAGCAATTGATGTGTAAACACTCTATATTCTAGCTAATGTAATCAGCAGTTACACACAGATCCTATCAACCACCAGAGGACAAGAGATGCACTTTAGAGGCAGATCAGGTGAAGTATTTACATTTATTTTCACAATTATATTCAGATATTTTCACAATTCTTTGCCAGTGTCTGCTTTGTTGTTATTTTGTGAACAAATAATAATAATATAAAAAAAATAATAATAAAAATGTTATCAGATGTACTCACCTGGACACCACAATGCCCATGGTTTTGGATGGGAGTCATTCGGGACCGAAGCTCTCTCTCTCTCTTCTATGGGCCCAAAGGTAAGAGAGAGAATGCAACCATCCTGATACACACACTCAAACCAGCACCATGCAAAATACACACTGCCGACAGCATTTCTCTGCTCCGATACATCCAAAATCTACCAAAAAAGACAGGAATGTATGTATATTTTTACATCCTTGTGGTTGTTAAATCGTTCTCCGCATGTCACTGTGTAAAAAAACAACTGCTTTTTTGTTTTTTCCTTTCCATTCTATTCTCTCCCTCCCTCTTTGTCAGGTCCTTATTTTAGCGGGTTGCCGGGGTAATGCGGGACAGTGAAGTGCTCTACATGAGCAGGGGGTGAGCTGGCCATGACAGGTCAGAGTGTCACACGCAGACACTTGTGAATGAAAGTCAAATAACAAAATGCATATATATTTTTAATATAATACAAATAGTTTATTTATCTAAACAAACCAAACCTTTTTTTCTGGGCAAAATATTCTTTAATACACTACTAGTCAAAAGTTTAGAATAATTATGAATTTTTAAATGTTTTTTAAAGACGTTTTGCTCTCCAACGCTGCATTTATTTGATCAAAAATGCAATGACAACAGAAATATAAAATTGTAAAATATAATTACAAATAGTTTTCTATTGTAATATATTTTAAAATGTAATTTATTCCTGTGCAAAGTTACATTTTCTTACTTTTAAGTAATTCTTTTCATTACTTTAGTCTTCAGTGTCACATGATCCTTCAGAAATCATTCTAATATGCTGATTTGGTTCCCAAGAAGCAGTTTTGATTATTATCAAAGTTGAAAACAGTTGTGTTTTCTTTCTTTCTTTTTTTTTTTTTTTGTGGAAATCGTGATACAATACCATTCAAAAGTTTGGGCTAAGTAAGCTTAGAAAAAAAAAGAAAAAGAATGAATTCAAGAAGGATGCATTAAATTGATCAAATGTGGCAATAAAGACATTTATCATGTCACAAAAGATCTCAATCTCAAAAAATGCTGTTCTTTTGAACTTTCTATTCATCAAAGAATGTTTCACGTTTCCACAAAAATATTAAGCAGCAGGAAACAGTTTTCAGCATTGATAATAATGAGAACCATTATTAATATTTAAACACCAACAATAATTGATAATAATTGAGCACTAAATCAGAATATTAGAATGATTTCTGAAGGATCAAAAAGTCCTGAAAATTCAACTTTGCCATCACAGGAATAAATTACTTTTTATCTCATACAGCCCAAATGGAACAAAAAATAATAATTTCTAGAATATTTGGAATGACATAAGGGTGAGTAAATAATGACTTGGGGGGAAAGTCCTTTCAATTATTGACCCACCATCACCATGCCATTCCACAGTACTATGATGTCACCATATCGGTATGTTCTCACTGATATTTGACCTGATTAATAAGTGCTGGGTTGCCATGGTAATGTTGCATTGACTGTCTGTTCCATGATTCTCACCCACCTGTCATGGATATAATGTGCTTGTTTGCCCTCAGTACATTTCTCCATTTATTCTGTGGATCCAGCTGCTAGCCACAAAAATACTTTCATGTGTGCACGCACATATTCAGACAGAAATGTTTGTCGTATTATTAGTAATTAATCATGGACCTAATGAATGTTTTATTTACACTGTTGTAATGCATTCATTTTATCATAGGTCAAACTGGAAGCCATATTAACTTTCAAGCATAACATAAAAGGATCCCTATTCTTTTAATTACCTAAAACAACCGTAGTTGCATCCTGTGATGGTTAAGGTGAGTCACTCAAGTTTAGTCACTCTTAGTATATGAAGGTAGGACGCCACATCCAAATTCAATTTGTCACATCCTCTCTGCTGAGATGCCTCATGTCCAATGTCTCCTTTATTCACAAATGCTGTCTGTGTAGTCATGTCTTGGTTTTGGACAATTTATTCAGTGAATAAATAGAAAGAACTAGTCAAAACTAATGGTAAAATTATGTTTTGTCATAATGTGCACTAGAACAAATTGTGTTGAATATATGATTTGTATACATTCATTTTAATTATTCTATTACTATTATTAACTAATTGCTTTGATCAACATACCTGACCTTTAAAATGGCATATCCTTATTTTCTCTGTATATTTGTGCATTGTGTATTTATGCTTTTGCATAACAAATGTTTGGTTATCAAAGCAATAAAGTTTATAGGTTGAGGAGGGGTGATTGTCATATACAGATGGCATCAGATGGAACATTTTGGCTGACAAATATGCCCTTCTTCTGTCTGTTTTATATTTATAAGGATACCACTTCATTATATGTCCAATAAAGAAACGAGAAGGGAATCCTCTTAAGTAAATAACAGCATGAGTAAAACTATAAAATGTGGAGGTTCCAGAGCATTGTAGATGTAGCCTGTATAGGCTACACAATATATTTTACCACGCCTAAAACGCCTAAATTGTTAATCACCTGCTGGGTTAATTGTGTGTGTGTAGTACACAACAACATAACTGCTTCGGCAATAAGAAATTTTTTTACCAAGCAACGTGATGGGCGTTCATGCTGCGAGGTGACGTATTCAATCATTAACTCCGCTTGTCCTCCGGAGTCTATCGCAGGTTCAGATATATGCGCTCAATAGACGAGAGAGGGAAACGGAAGGACTAAATCCAGGATAAAAATAGATTTGAACGGCCACGGACAAACGGGTGAAAGAAAACCTCTCATCGACCACAGTTAGTTCAAATAATTCGTATTTTTACTTCTTAGGGTGAGAGGGATCAAAGTTCACTCGTGCTCGGTCCCTCATGAGAGACAGGTTTCAGTCAATCCGTGGTGGAATAACAAGATCTCATGACGACAAAAGAGATGTGAGTTGGTCTATCTTATCGTTTTGATATTTTATTTTTATTTTACTTGTTTTGATTCATGTCTATTTTGTTTACTAAAACAGAAAAAAAGTTTAAATGATTAAAAGGGCTTACTTTTTTAATCATGTTTTTATATGTTATAATGTTCTATTGTATTATTCTGTTTTTCGTATTTTCTGTAATTAAATGTCAACTTTAAAAAAATATTTTGGACTTTGTGTTTTACATACAATACTAATTTGCATTACTTATTACAGGACAAAACAGGACATATGGCAAAGTTTTTTGTGTTAATGGCTGAAATGAAGATTACATTGGGCAAAAATAATGGTCAGTGTATTCCATGATAGCCTATTTATGCTGCATTTGATTTCTTGATAAAACTTTTTAAAATCGGTATTACTTTTGTTTGTAATAGTGATGGTGACCATTTTTTGGGATTGTGTTTGTGTGCAGGTAGTTTCACGTCTGTCCTCCATGCCCTGATGCTGTAAAGGGGTTCAAATCAAAAACCATATTCCACTCCACCGGTCCTGGGGTGGGTGGACCACTAGTATGGACCCCTGGCAAAATCTGCTGTCCAGATGGTGAGAACAAATTTATTTGTGACTGAAAGCTTTAATGAACACAAAGCTCAGTTAAAATTTGTGAATATGAATACTAGCTTGTTAATGTGCTATGAATAGTAGCCATAAATGAACATCTTTATCATTAATGCTTGTAAAATTATGCCATTATATTACTTCAGTATCTTTAATGTGATATTCTTAGATTTAGGCTTAATCAATGTACTGTCTGTCCATGTGTGTTTCAGTTCGGCATGGTGGCAGATGCATACGCCGCATGCTCTGAGAGCTTGTGTGTATGAAGTGTGTAAACCTCTGGTGCCACTTCTGCTGGGCATCGCGGCCCTGGTGGCTGTGATTGTGTACGCTCTGGCAGATAATCTACACAGTTTTGTAAGCAGGATCTTCATTCCCCAGTATCACTATCCTTATGCGGTGCCACTTGCATTCATACAGGTACTTTGCCCACACAGCCACATCTTTATCAGTTATTTGTCAGTTTTATGATCTTGAACATGCAGATTTTAAAGCTGCCTTATATAACTAATGATCAGAGGATTTTCCTGGCTTTCTAATGCATTTGGGGTCAGTGCAGAAAGCTCTGGCCAGTTTAAAATAGGGTTATTATAGTTAACTAAAACTAAAACCATTAAAGTTTTTGTTACTTGGGGGGAAAAAAATTATTTCAGCTAATTGCCAAAGCAACATTTATCATTTTAATTTAGTTTAAAATTATGTATAAAATCACTAAAACTGAAATAAAAAATTTAAAAATTAAAATGACAGAAACACACAACAAAATTACTAAAACTTTAACAAAATGAAAATGGAAAATATAAAAATAAAAACTGATTTAAAATATTAATAGAAACTATAGCAGTATATATATAATATAAATAATAAATAAAATCTCAATAAAATAAGACTGGTTTTAAAGTATCTAATTGAATTCAGTTGAAAAGATTAGATTTTTTAAGGCAAAGCTTAAACGAATATAAACAATTCTGTCATTTACTCATAAAGAAATTTTGCAGTATGTTTAAGCTGCTGTTTTACACAATGAAAATTAAAGGGAAGCTCTAATATGGTCAAAAATGCATATAAATGGTCCATAGAACTTCTACATGCTTCTACATTCTACATAACAACTTCTGCTACATTCCATGTTTTCTAAAGTCACACAGTAGATTTCTATCAGCCAAGTTGCTATTCAGTGGAAAATGTCCCATTCAAACATGAGATGTCAAGGTATATTTTGTCAGGATTAATGAGTAAAGAGTCATTTGCATATATATCATATGATCAGTGTTAAGTATACACTCTTAAAAATAAAGGTGCTTCACGATGCCATAGAAGAACCTTTTTGTCTAAATGGTTCCATAAAGAACCTTTAACATCTGAAGAACCTTTCTGTTTCACTAAAGTTCTTTGTGGCAAAAGAAGGTTCTTCAGATTACAAAAAGGTAAGAAAGAGATGGTTCTTTAAAGAACCTTTGACTGAATGGTTCTTTGTGGACCCAAAAATGGTTCTTCTATGGCATCGCTTGAAGAACCTTTTGAAGCACCTTTATTTTTAAGAGTGTATCTCAGTGTGTACATAGATTGTTTGTAGGGTGTAAAGCACAAGACTGGGCAGCTCTCTGATGAATCATTAGGTGTGTTACATGTGACTAGGACTATAAACTGGTGGAGCCGTTTTACTGTTTGTGTTTGAATGTTATGGCTGGCTATGTGTTTAAGATGCAAACAGAATGTCAGAAGTTGACAAATGGAAGATTTGAGGTTAAAATGTATGTCTACAGTGAGGTCAAAGACTGAGAATACTAGTGAAATATATATAATGTTTCATCATTTTAAAATCTTAAACCTTTGTTTATTTCCAGGTTTTTCTATGCAATCTCACAATCTGCATTGGCTCTACTGTATATATAAGGGAAAGAGCAGATTTGTGTGACAGTTCAACAGTTCTCAAAAGTTCACCCTTTTTTTGGTTGTTTTTTTGCAGTTCACTTTTATTCAGTATAAATAATATTCAGTGTATTTCAATGTGCCCTTACAAAAAAGAAGTTTATTCAAGTGTGCTATTAGTATACTTCTTTTAAACTAAAACTAGGAAAGTATACTTTCAGTCTACTTTTTATGTACTTCTCAGACATGGGCTTTATGTACTTCTCAGAAATATACTTAAAGAATGATGTAAAGTTCACTTAAAGAGAATTTACGAGTATACTTGCAGTATAAAACTATACTTCAAAGTGTACTAAAAATTTAAAGTATTTAATTAGTAAACTATCAGTATACCTCTAAGTTCACTTTTCACCTGTACTACTTTTTGGTAAGGGTGGTCATAAAACTGCATGTATAATAGTCATAAAAATGGTCAAATGTTGTTTAAAATAGTGTGATTCAGCTGTTACTGCTTAAATGTCATGTTATCATTTGTTATGTTCATCATTATCCTCTGAAAGTGGTTTTCTTAGGTACACAATGAAAAGTCAGTGGTATATGACTCTCTGGGCATTTATGGCACTGTGTATCAAGTTTTAATCTCCAGTGTGTTTTTAAGCATGTTGAACTTCCTCTTGCTTTTGCTTCCTTCCCATCAGGTATTTTTAAATCTCCTGGCACTGCTAGCTTTGCACGGTGTGGGTCTGATCCACCTGAAGCCTTTTTCACTGAGGCTGGGTGAGCGTTTGTTTGTGCCGGCGGTCTGTGGGAGCGTCCAGTGTGTTCTGGCCATATGGGCTGAAGCCTGTTCCCACTCTGGCCTGTACCCGCTAATCGCCCGTTTCCTCCCAATGGTCAGTGTGAGCTTGGGTCACCTGTTTGCACTGAGTATACCAGGCTCCATCCATGTCTCCTGCCTTCTGACTGTGCTCACTTTTGCCTCAGTCACCGTCACAGGTACACTGTTCATGCTTAATTTGATGTGTTAATTACCATTCTTTGCAACAGTCGGGTAAAAACGATAACATATAACATATAAATGGTAACATGTAAACCTTTAAAAGCAGCTGTTGTGAGCTCAGAAGTTGTTACCCACCTTACAGGGAACTTTCTCAGAACTATGACTGATGTTCTTACAAGGTTCTCTCAAAGTTATACAAACATTATTCCAGTATCGTTAATAGAATGTTTGTTAAAAGTTGTCTGGTCTTTAAGAATACTCTCAAATTGTCTCAAAAAAATACTTAAGGAACCAAAAGTGCTAAAAATGCACTCTGCTGTGAAATTTACTAGCAATTTCGAATTAAAAAAATGTTTCTACATCATACATTTTCAGTGCATGATTGCTTCAAATATCTGTGAAGAGGAATAGGCAATTTTTTTATGTCATCAATCGCAATTATTTTTGTCTTTTCAGAATGTAAAGGACTTCATGCGATGGAGCCGCTGGAGTATGTCTTCTCTCCCCTCAGCCTTGTCCTCCACAGCCTCTCTCTTGCCTGGCTAGCCAAAGTCTCCCAAACGGAACGAGGCCATACCTCGACCTTTGACCTTTACTACACTCTGACAGTGACACGTACCCTCTTATTAGGGTTCCTATGTGTTTTGCACCCTGATGGACCAAAGGCACTGATTCATGGCAACTGGCACAGTCTGCTGTTTCTGGGATACATGCTCGGGATGTTACTGCTGGGTGCTGTGCAGCTTCTCTTTGTGGATGTAACGGCGCTGTATTTTTCTGCTCTCCCAGCAGCCGTGCTGCATGCGACCAGAGGGCTGGTTCTACCCCTGTTCAGTCTGCTATAGGACATACGGACTAATCAGAGTGTAGATCATTCTGAAGAGGAACAGTCTATGTAGAGTAACCAATCAAATACCTGATACCATGATTGATAATAACAGTATTAGAACTTAATTTATAGGCATGACAACCTCATATATATATTATAATTAATATGGTAATACTACCAGCAAGCACTGATGTGCGACTCCTTTCTTCACTTGCACTGAAACTACGACACAACTAAGACACACATCCTACAAATGGGGTGTTTTCATGAAGGAGCTGATACTTAAGTTCTGGAATTAAATTATACAGGTAAAATACAGGTTTCTCTGACCAGCTTTTTTTGTACAGACTAAATTATTATTTCTATGTATCAGCTATAAAAAATTATATATTTTGCATAAAGAAGTGTAAGCCTTTTTAGGACCTTTAGGGTATATCCTAAACCACAATTCTTAATTCTCATTACGGCAATGCAAAAACGATGTTATGGTTGTCTATTAAAAAGTCAGACAGTAAAATATTCATTACTGTATCTGTAATGAAAAATACAAACTAAAAAAATAAAACATATGGACGCATTACAGTAATGAGAATGTAGAATGCGCTTAATTGTCATGAAAATAATTCCAAAATGCAAAAATAATAAACCTTAAAAGGCCCTAAAAATAGCGTAATTTTTCATGCAAAATATATTTTTTGAGGGTGAAATATGATATAAGCATGTTCTTGACAAGCTTTGTGAGATTCACCCAAGTATGCCATTCACCTTAAAATAACCTTACAAACTTAGACCAGAGGAGCCCTTCACTGTTAAAATGCATGGTTTGTAGAAATCACAGCTATAAACTGCAATACAATTTAAGATTATTACAGTAGTGATATATATTGTTCAAATAGAAAACCTGTGACTCATGAATTTATTTAGCTCCTAATATACAGTACAAACTACAGTATTATTGTTAATGTTTGGAGCAAATAAAACACATTGATGAGGCTTTCTCATGACTAAACCAAATTTCCAAGTGTTTCTGTTTTTCTTGTCATATTTTGGTATAAATGTAATTATGACATTTCCAGCACCTTTTCTTTATGATGGAAGCAGTACATAACGCACAGATACAGATCACAAAAGATCCTACTATCTATTTGTATAGTTACCAGCATAGGCCAAAGTCTGCCCGAGTGAGAATCACGAGGTTAAAAAAGTTCAGCATCAGAGCGTTGAGGCTTTGCATCTAATCAGTCATGATTGATTTATCTGTAAAGACTTGGTTAATGTTACACGAGCATGCAGTTTGTTTAGTTTATCAGTAATGCCAGCATAGATAAGCACTGTGAAATATCCCTGTTCTTTTTCTCTGATAGATAGCTGTAGCTCATACTTTCTGTTGTAGTGCATACTTATTGCTTTGATTAATCTCAAAGAAAATTACGTAATCGTAATTAACGAAACACCTCAGAAAAATACCTTTATTCAAAAAGATAATGTAATATTTCATTGAGAACAACATGATACACAATTTCTTAGAGAAGAAATTCCCAGTTAGGTTTTTTATGGAAGTGCTCTGAGTTGAAGGAAACACCAATGCTGGGATGTAATAATTCACAATTCAGTACTGGGTGTGGAGCAGAACACCATAAATATAGCCATCTGATAGAGGAACTGCTGATGTGCACTAGGTGAAGGAACGCTGAGTGCGTGATAAGTCTGTGAGCTGATTTTTCCAACTTCAGTTTGACATATCAGGACTGATCTGCATCAGGTGGGATGTGGATGCCAAGACTCTGCAGTAGGTTAGATGCAGGCCCAGCAAGGCCTGCCTGAGAAGCGAGAGACTCCAGTAAATTTGAAACCAGGTTGAGATCCACATCAAGAGGCTGGATTTCTTCCTCAACAAGCTCTGACCCTGCGTCTGCCAATGAGCTTTTAGATGCATCTGCTGTATTACTGGTCTATAAGGAAAGGGAAGAATAAATAAATCCGATAAAAAGTTTTTAAAAGGTTACATGCACAGGATAAACAACATCTGTGGAGACTCACTCTGTTATTCTGTGTAAAACTTCTGCCAATATTTGTGCTTTGCAGTTCCTGGTCCATTTCATCCATGTATTTCCTCAGATTGTCCAGTGCCTCTGCATCTGCCTGCTTCTGAGACTCGCCATTCTGCACTTCTTCATCCTCGTCCTCTTCATCATCATCCTCAAAGTCGTCAGAGTCTAACTCATCATCCTTACTTCCTGTAAAACATGAAGTGCAAATTATTAGTGCTTTTTTGGTTAGTGCAGATTAGTAGTTGACCGATATATCCACAAGACTGATGTGTCTGCTAATATTTAGCATTTTTTTCTCAAATTCTCTTCCTTCATTAATTTACTGTCTCAGTAAAAATATTAAACAGAACTGTTAAACAAAGGAAAAAGACGTTATACGAAAACATATTACAACATTTGCTTTTCTATTACTAGTAACAGAAAGGCAAAGGTTTTAATACTTTCTTAACTACCGTCAGCATTCAGCGAATACGCATACAGTGTTGGTTCATATTTTTAATAATTTCTTTATTTGTTAAAAATATTATAATAGGATTATAGACAGAATAAAGAAGTTGTTATATGAATAAATGTTTATTTTACAAATGACATTTTTTTCCCCGGTCAAATTATTGTTTTCAACTGTGTGATATCATATACATCGGGTTTCAGCAGATATCAGCATCGGCAATCAAAAAATCTATATCAGTCAACCACTGGTGCAGGCAATTAAATTGGGCATAAAAATAGGCATACATTTGATTTCTAAACAAAATTGCAGTGTTCAGTTTTTTTTTTAATTTACTGGCTTTAACAAACATTTTTTTTAAAAGCGGGATTGATTTAGATGGTCTAATATCACTGAAAATCAAACTTACCTAGCAGTCCATCTAGTGCACTGGTTACTGCATCTGGATCAAAACTGAAGGGCTCAGCCAGGCAAGATCTGAAACACAATCGGTGAAAAAGAAAGACATAAATTATCATGGTGGTACAATAATAACTGGAGTATTGACAATTATTCAGATGGAATATCATTACCTGGGTATTTCAGCTCCTTCATGAGAGGACATGGCATTGATGAAGTTCTTCATGCCTTGCGTTACAGCTATCAGACTGTAGCCAGCTTCTTCCTCCTGAACCTCCTCATCAGGTGCTGTTTTGCGAGTGCCATCGCTCACCCCTCGACCTCCTCTCTCCTCAAGCAGCCTCTCCAGCTCCTGAGGTGAGATGTCTAACCACGCATCACCTACAGGGGGAGATTGAGAGGATTCACTTTCAGCAAAAGCAGTGAAAAAACTACTTAGGCTCAATATTTGATGTCAATATGTGCAGACCACAGAGAAAATGGTACATACTGTCCTCTGGTGGTAGATGTGCCTCTTGATTTTTTAGATCGTCCAAACTGTAGGAGGTGTCCTCCGAGACTTTCAACATCTCTTGACCAGGATTCTGAATAGCAGGGCTTGAGAAAGAGTAACATAAATGTTCGGTCACATGGTCCTTCAGAAATCATTCTAATATGCTGATTTGGTGCTAAAGAAACTTTTCTTATTATTATCAATGTTGAAAACAGTTGTGTAATATTTTATGGAAACTGCAATACATTTTTATGAATAGAAAGTTCAAAAGAAAAGCATTTATTTGAAACAAAAATCTATGTAACATTATAAAAAGTCTTGCCGTCACTTTTGATCAATTTACTACATCCTTGCTGAATAAAAAAAAATATACACACATATATCCCAGTACATTTCCACACAGATAAAGTTAAATAAACTTGATTTTGAAGTGGGACAATGACAAGTCACTCTCACCAGTGAGTGCTGGTTACAGACTGTCTGAAGAAACTCTCTGCTGATGTCATTAGGTCTTTGTATCGAACAGATCCTTCCAGTTCTCCCTGGGTTCACAAAAATACACACACAGATTTAATGAATGAGGTGTTTATGTTTTATTAAATTTGTTTCTCTCAGGCAAAGGAATCTTTGCATCGTCTGAAACTCTTTCCTACCTTAAAGTATCCATTCTTTTTGAGACTATCTAAAAAGCCTCTCCATAGTGGGTTACTGCTGACAGAAGCCTCTTTCTCTGATGAGGACTGTCCACTCTTGGAGCACAGGATTTCAAAGCCATGGGCCTTAGACATGAACAGAAAATAGAATACTGTACTATACTTACAAAATGTTTTACGTGAAAAATCATATTTCTGAGCATATTAAAAAAATCCAATGCTAAAATACTTAGAGAAACAGATGCTCATCTCTGTAAGAGAAAATCTGCATTTTAATAGCTTTCTCTATACATGACTGGAGAACAGGATACCGCATGCCATGAACCCACCAGTTTCATTCCCAACTCGTGAGCTCTGTACTGGGGATGAGAGCGGACAGGAAGCGTGAAACCACTCCGCCGATCTGGAACAAAACGCTGTTGTTGCAGCTGTGCGTACAAGCAGCGAGTAAACTTTACCTTCAGGAAAGGGGGAAGGGAACAGGTTTGTCATTACTGGAGTAATGTTATCAAAACTTACATCAGGTTAAACTACTGTTCAAAAGTTTGAGCTCTGTAAGAATTTCACTGACCCCAAACTTTTGATTGGTAGTGTATGTGACAGAATTCGGCAAGTACTTTCCCTTATAAAGATAAATTCAGAACAAAATTTAGACTGCTTCTTACTGATGTCATAACTCTAGTGTCAGGAGGAAACGTGTGGAAAGTTCGGCAGGCCTGGAGGTCAACAGGGTCACGCAGATAGAAAGCAGACACGGCAGGAGCTATAAGGTCAGGCCTCCTAGACAACACCACAGCAATGCCCGCAGGCACATAACAGTGGGCACAGTGGAAATTCTGCTGGATTTTATCTGGATACCTACAAACATACACAAACGACTGAGTAAAACCTAAAATAAAGATACAGTGCTAAAACAGAAACAATGTCATTTCTTATTTTAAACAATAATGTCATTCTCACCCATCCAGCCTCTTGGCAAGAGCGGCGCGTATGGGCTGTTTGGCTAAACAGCTCTCAGTGTGTGAATGCAGCACCTCTAGAGCCTGCACCACAGTGGGCACTGAGTCTCTGGGCCAGCCAACCTCTCCACAACGTGTGCGGTTGGGTAATATGTGCAGCTCTCCCCGGTACAGAAACACCTGAGAAAGATATTGCCAGACAGAAAAACTGATTAGCCAATGGGAACAGAGTATATATGCACCTCAGGATGATAACAACAACCACCTTACCTTTAAAAACAAAAACAAAAAAGTATTTTTTCCCCTAAAAATGATAACCATCTACCACGGATTAGTAAAAACTGTGGTGATATCAGTGCTGGAATCAAACTGATTATACCATGGCACTAAATGTGTAAGAGCCACTTATTTCTTTATATAGATGTGGAATTCAAAATTGTGAATAAAGTGTAATATAATATTCCAGTATTTCAGAAAACTTTGAAATTGAAGCTCCAATAACATTGCTTGGATACAATTTTTGACAGTATGTTTCCAGTTAATTTTGTTAATAAACAAAAGAAACTTACTGCAATATTCAATGTTATTCAAGTTC